ATAAACATACCAACGAGGAAGCGCTCGAGTATTATACGAAATACTCGAACGCTCTAACGAAAACAAAGCGAACGGAAGTCGTAAAATTTGTGAAAGGAAAAATTTAGCCAACGATGAGACATAAGTAAACCAACGACGAAGCATTCGAATATTGTACGAAATACTCGAATGCTGAAACAAAGGGACAAATAGAATGAAAGAAATAAAATCTGGAAGAAAAAAAATAATTAGAACCTGAAAGAAGAAATTATCGATAAATTATTTATGAGAGTGGACAATGGCTACTGAATAGCCATTGATCTAGCCAACGATGATATACAAATAAACCAACGACGAAGCATTCGAATATTGTAGAAAATACTCGAATGCACAAACAATGAAACCTAGAATAAAAGAAATAGAATCTGAAAGAAGAAAGATAATTAAAACCTGAAACAAAAAGAAAAAATATTAACGCGGACCCTCCGAAGTCGAAGCGACAACTGGCTCGAGCCTGCACGCGGGCCCCTTATATATCGGCGGCCGGCCGAGGATCGACGAAAATTTCCGAACTTTACCGATTCCTTTAAAAGTTACCTTTTCGCTGTAATAACTAATAATTTATTAACTTTTTTGAGTTTTATCGTTAATATACTTTGCAAACTATTAATTAACAACAATTTTAATTTGTTATTAGCGATAAATTTAAAGATTTATTAACCTTTTGTAAGTTATGGATACATTTTAACACGAATATGTTGTTTGTTTAAGTTGGACTTAATAATTTATTAACTTTTTTTACTTTTATCGTTAATATACGTAGCAAAATATTTGTTATTAACAATAAATACAGTAATTTATTAACTTTTTTTACTTTTATCGTTAATATACGTAGCAAAATATTTGTTATTAACAATAAATACAGTAATTTATTAACTTTTTTTACTTTTATCGTTAATATACGTAGCAAAATATTTGTTATTAACAATAAATACAGTAATTTATTAACTTTTTGCTAACTATAGATGTATTTTCACGCAAATACGTTATATATACTAGTAATAGCCTATAAGTTAGTAATTTTTTCACATTTATTATAAACTTATGTTGTGAAAAATTTGTTATTATTAAGAAATTTGATTATTTATACATTTGTATGAACTATAATTGTATTTGATTGACGTCATTGACAAAAATTCCGTTCACTTATCTCTCAGCCTCAAAAATCGTCGAATGTTCAACTGAAGTAACGAAAATTTACAAGAGGTAGGATATAGCTTAAGCTTTGTGCGTAGCTCTTAGCTTGGTATCGTTTTCCAAAAATTATACTTTGGAAAACATTACCAATTACCAGGTCTCACCACGAGGAGGTGGCTACGCATCGAGACCCGACATGCGCCCTAATGGCGCTGCTTGCTGGCGTTATCTGTATCAAAGGTATCCTAATCTAACCTGGAGCGAACGAAGTTAAAGTGAAGTTACTGACACTTTATTAAATATCGTGTCTTACAAAAGAGACGCAATTATTCAAAAGATCGACTAGCCTACGCGATGCACTCCCGTGTACAAGATAACTCGGACCTTAGCATCCTCCCGATCGGGCCTTGCCCATCCTGCCACCGCCGAGCTCGCATGGCTTACTCGATGATCTAAGGCAGCTAACGAACCAGTGAAACACCCAGAGGCAATCCGAGGGTCCTATGCGAGGCCTAACAGTCGGAATCACGCGCATGCTCCATACTCCTGCTCTATGCAAACATAACCACATAGCCGCCAAGTGCTAGAGGGGCAGGCAGGCACGCTCTTGCAATGATTCCGACTGCAGGGCCCATCCCCCGGTCGTGTGCACGGATTGGCACCCAGGACGACTAAGGTCGACGGACCCTCGTATTACTCCAGATGCCTCACCAGCCCGAGAGCCACCAGAGATCTCGATGCATGACGA